TCTATGACTAAACTGAGGATAAGTGCCCACATACTTCAGATTGAAGTTGGGCGATATCACAACATAGATAGAACATGCCCTGTCTGTGACTCCAATGAAATTGAAGATGAAGAACACTTCCTCTTCAATTGTAACCAGTACAAATTTGAAAGAGATGCTTTGTTTGAAAACGTAAACTTATCCGGTAATCTGAAAGCACTTCTCAATAACAAAAATTCTGAAACCGTCCAAGCAATTGCCAAGTTTATCAGCGACTGTTTCAATAAAAGAGAGAATTTCATGAAAAGCAATTTACCAGCTGCCTCAAAATAACACCAAAAAAATATTTATATAATAATATTTTCACAGTATTACTATTTATTTCTTTTTTATTATTATTATTACTTATGTATTTTATTGTTCCTTATATCCTTATTGTATTCTAATCTAGATCCCAGAAGGGATACGATATCAATAAAGGTTGTTATTATTATATCTGACGTACTAGTAGACAATGCGTTCGCACAAATCACCACCAATATTCAAATTAAAATACGATATGCATGCGATTGACAAACCTCACCCCTAATTTTGTCAGACGAGGGCTCCTGGTCGAGTCCATGCCTCGAGCGCCGGCCCAGTACTTTGTTTTATTTATTTTAGAAGAACTAGGGAGTCAACTGTAATGGCGGCCGTCGTTGAGTGAAAATAATGTTTGAAGACCTATACTCTATTTCAGTTACTATTGCTTTCGTTTTTTTAGCATATATTGCACATGGCTATTTCAAAGCTGTGTGGACTATCATGTATGATTATGACAACGTTTCATCGCGTTTCAGTGGGTTTAGAAGGCCATCTTCGTTTCAAGATTTGCCTGTCGAATGTTTGGCTGTGATTTTCGGATGTCTGAACGAGCAGGAAATTTGCAGCGCGGCCCTGGTATGCAGGCGTTGGCACGAAGCGTCTAAAACACCAAATTTATGGCAACATGCAGATTTCCGACTAGTGAATAAACACAAGTATCCTTCTGCTCCGAAGAGATCTCCGCATTTTGACCTAACACAAAAGTACAAAGACTACACCGCTCACTTGCTGGCAAAACACGCCAACATCAGACATCTCAGCTTTGACTTGGACTTGAATTCCGATTATGAGACGTTGGCCGAGCTCATCTCTTCTGGCAGGTGTCATAAACTAACATCGGTAGACATGAAATGGGCTGATTCATGGGACTATCGTCGATGGAATAAACTAGAAGACCAGCTTTTATTTTTCCACTCGTTGTTGGTGTTAATGGGGAGTTACTGCACCAAACTTCAAGCTGTCAGAACGCAGTTTAATTGGACGACAGAATCACTAAATTATCTACTGGCTTTCAAAAACTTGGAAGAATTAGAACTTTCCAGTGTACCACGAGTGCATCCGGTACAACGATGGCACATTGAAACACTACTCGCAGGCTGTGTTGCTTTGAAGAAATTCAAAATAGATGCCAGAATTTTGCCCGATCTGGTCTACAAGTATTCTTTCAAATCAGACTCATTAGAACTGCTGGATATATCCATGTCTGTTAATTTGTTCATCGTCGAAATGGTGCTTCCAAGACTGCACACCTTCACTGCAAAACACTTTACATGTTACCAGAAATACACTGACATATGTCTGTTTGAGGTACTTGACAGAGGGTGTCCAGCTCTGCAGTACATTAACGATGTGAGTGCAGAAAATCCTGGGCTACAGAATTTTGGGATGTCACGGGAACAGGAGTGGGATCTTCGAATATGTTACTGTACAAATCACTGTGGCTCTGGCAGAAATATACAAGATGTACAACCATGAAAATAACTTATAAACCAAAATTTTGTTTTGTTAAAATGTTACTTATTTAGATCATAGCAACCACTGTTATTTATGCTAGCTGATAATAGTGCACAAATACAGTATATACAATGGCACTGAATACACGTTTTTGCATGATAGTGACAAGTGCTTTTGTGATGTTAAAATGACATACATGTATATTATATGGGTAAAAGCAGTGTTATTAAAATCAAATACTGTTTGGTTGTGCAGACATTTGTAATCTTGAAAATAGTAAAAACAATCAAAAACAGTTGATTGTTGTTTTCGACATTAGGCGGACAATAGACCCCTATTAGATTTGAACATTTCGTCACAATATCTTGAATTCTCTGAATTTTAGCAAATAGTTTTATCATCTTGGTGAAAATGCAATTTTGACTGATAACTACTGGTTTTGATTGAGTCAATACTTGACGCATGGAGCCGGGGCAGCCACTGGTGGCGCTGTATACAATCAAGATTTTTTTCGGTTTGCTCATAGTTCTTGAGATATAGTCCATAATTTTGTGGCCAGAACTCAAAATCAACAGTTTACAGGAATGCCAATGAGACGGCATTTTTAGCTCATTTTGCTATGGTGCATTTTGTGCATTATCGGGTATTAGCATAAAGAAGTGTTCAAAGATGACATTTTCAGTAGTCTGATAGTCAAAAAATTAGTTTCCGTAACAATGCCATAAAACGCTTCTTTGTATTTGACTGTTGATAAACTGATTATTAATTCCAAATGTATACCATTTCGATCATACTGGTACTTTATAAAAGTATCTGATCTTCGATGACCGTTAAACTTGAACAGGATTGGCATATATCACACAACTAATTTATTGAAAGTCCTTTATTATGTTAAACAGCTCCAATAGTACAATTGGTCCTCTAAACACTGGGCAGGCCATTGTAAAGTATGTTTACTTGCAGAATACATATATATGTATTTGAGTATATTTCGGTTTGCATCAGCCTATGAAGAGTGTATTGTTATTTGATTTGTAATGCGAGTAAATAATATGTACAATGTGATCTAGCCTTCTGTTTGTCCTCAGACTAGTATTAGTTTGAGGTTTGTCAGCATGTGTGGACGAAGCTAAGTTTAAGGTCAGATATATTATATGTTTGTCTGAGGGATAAGAACCTCCAGTACTCAAATAAATGTGGGGAAATATGAGGGCAGAATATCATAAATTTGCAAAGTATCAATAGGAATGCTTTATAAAGAAAGTTTTATATCTGTGTCTTTAGCCTTTCAAGATGAAATGTTTTCAAATGAAATTTTGGATTATAGTATTTTCATATGATTACCTTGGATTTGGTTCTTGTGGTTAGACAAGTAACGATGTTCATTGTTTGATTGGATTTATCGTCTTTCATTTTCATCATATTACACACATTAGATGTTAAAATAGTAGATGGTTTGAATGTGCACACCCCATTATTAGTCTCCGTTTGGACGCAGTCCGAAAACAGGGACTTGTGTTTTGACCTCTGTGTGTCCGTGCGTGCGTCGGGACCTGTATCTTAGAAATGCCTGGACCAATCACAATCAAACTTCACACATACATCATACATGATATTATACATATGCACGTCAATTTGTTCCATGATCTGATTCAAGATGGTCGAATGGCGGCCATTTTTGTGCTAAAAATCATCAAAATCAAGCATTTCTCGGCTGTTTACAGATGGATTTTGTTCAAACTTTAATTATACATTAGACATTATAGGACCTTGATGCACATCATTTTGTTTCACGATCTGGTTCAAGATGGCCGACTGGCGGCTATTTTGTATTAATGAATGTGGTTCTTGTGCCATATCTCTGATTTGCTTTCACTGATTATATTCAAATTTTAAATATTCATTATACATCATGTCATAGATAGACAGATATATTGGTTTGATGATCCTATTCAAAATGGCCAAATGGTGGCCATTTTTGTGCTAAAAAATCATCAAATATCAAGCATTTCTGGATGGATTTCATTCAAACTTGGTACATATATTAGACATTACAGGTTCCTAATGCACATCATTTATTTTTCAGATCAGATTCAAAATGGTTGTCTGGTGGCCATTTTGTTTAGATGAATGGGCTTCTAGACCCATATCTCCGACTTGTTTTGACTGATTATATTCAAATTTTAAATATTCATTATACATCATGTCATAGATAAACATATATTGGTTTGAAGATCCTATTCAAAATGGCCGAATGGTGGTCATTTTTGTGCTAACAAATCATCAAATATCAAGCATTTCTGGATGGATTTTCTTCAAACTTGGTACATATATTAGACATTACAGGTTCCTGATGCACATCATTTTATTTTTCAGATTGGATTCAAAATGGCTGACTGGTGGCCATTTTTAGCTCCGCTGTCGACTTTGTCGAGCGGAGCTTATCATATGAGTGATTGTCCGTCGTCCGTGTCAATGTTTTACTTTTTCGACTTCTTCTTGAAAACTACAAGCCTGAATGCTTTGATACTTGGTGTATATGTACCTTGGGTAGACCTCTCTTAGGTTTGTTCATTTCATGTTGATATCTTCAATTCTCTAATTTTGGTGAATATTTTTGTCATTTTTGGTAAAAAGTGATATTTTCGACTTCTTGTTAAAAACCACAAGTCCGATTGCTTTGATATTACATATATAGGTACTACATGTGGACCTCTCTCAGATTTGTTCATTTCGTGATGATATCTTCAATTCTCTAATTTTGGTGAATATTTTTGTCATTTTTGGTAAAAAGTGATATTTTCGACTTCTTGTTAAAAACTGCAAGTCCGATTGCTTTGATACTATACATATTGTTCATTTTCTAATGATGTCTTCAGTTCTTTAATTGAAATGTGCATTGCTAACAGCGGAGCTATCTCAGCCGATAGGCTGCTTGTGTTTTAATGATTGGGCTTCTAGAGCCATATCTCTTAAATGCTTTGACTGATTATATTCAAATTTTATATATTTGTTATACATCATGTTATATATATACATGTATTCACAAAACGGCTGATTTTGAATGCTGTTCCAGAGCAATATCTCTCAATATGGACAAGTACTTGTTTGACGATCAGATACAAATGTCACATTTTAATGTTATAAAATCATATTCCTGACATGGTTATATTCCAGCTATATTACTATAAACAAAATTATATATCTTAAATTTGATAACTAACGGGGACTGTGCCATGCGGCTTGTTAATTATATATCAATCTAGAGTAACAGATCAAAGACATACACCATTTAATATTACTCTGTGATGCACAACAATGCAGTTAAATTTTATTATTCACTAAATTGCAAAATATATACAAATACAAGGTCTTAAATTACTATCTGTTAATCAAACCATGTATGCATCATGACTACAACATACTACCATTGATATAGGGTGTGTTAGGACAGTGACCAGGTGACTTTCCATATACAAACCTACAGTGTTTTCACAGCACCAAGATTTGTGTATGACAGGGCTTGAACCTCAAAGTTTAGATAGCACCCATTTTCAAGGCAAAATGTTAAAATTGCCCTACCATGTATAGGAGAAGTAATTACCATATACATGTAGGTAGTACTTACCATTTGTGGGAGTTGTACTTGCCTTATATAGTAGTACTTACCATATATAGGAGTAGTATTTGCCATATATAGTAGTACTTACCATATATAGGAGTAGTACTTACCATATATAGTAGTACTTGCCATATATAGTAGTACTTGCCATATATAGGAGTAGTACTTAGCATATATGGGAGTAGTACTTGCCATATATGGGAGTAGTACTTATCATATATGGGAGTAGTACTTGCCATATATAGTAGTACTTACCATATATAGGAGTAGTACTTAGCATATATGGGAGTAATACTTGCCATATATAGTAGTACTTACCATATATAGGAGTAGTACTTAGCATATATGGGAGTAATACTTGCCATATATAGTAGTACTTACCATATATAGTAGTACTTAGCATATATGGGAGTAATACTTGCCATATATAGTTGTACTTACCATATATAGGAGTAGTACTTAGCATATATGGGAGTAATACTTGCCATATATAGTAGTACTTAGCATATATGGGAGTAATACTTGCCATATATAGTAGTACTTACCATATATAGGAGTAGTACTTACCATATATGGGAGTAATACTTGCCATATATAGTAGTACTTACCATATATAGGAATAGTACTTAGCATATATGGGAGTCGTAAGGGAAAATGTGCATCTAGCACCATAACAAGCTCCTAGAGCATTGAGGCTAATTCCATTGATGCCACCATGAAGTTCAAGCCATGTTTTCTATTGTCTCAGGTCAAACTTGTTAATAGTGAGTTATTGACCACACGTACCATCTATACATTGACATAAATGTTCACATCTAGTGGAAACTGAACTGTCGGGAAATCACATGCACGACTCAAGGATATGTTCTGAATACAGTTATGCTTAACTCTGCTGAACTTGCGAGATATATTCCCAATTTTTGGTGTAGACAAAAACTACATTATCTACACTAATTATTGTCTTGCACATAAAATGTAATGGTCAAACAAAATGGTGAATAAATGTGCACATATACACACTAAAGTGCAAAAAATAGTCGCATATTCAGCCTTGCATAATTGATATGTGGAATATAATCCCAGTGATTTTCAAAAATTAGCTGAATGCTATAAAATATTTTAAAATCAAGGCATGGTAAATACTTAAACTGGAAATAGATTATAGTAGCACCGAATACAGGGTGGGAAGTGTTGCTGAAGCTTATCAAGTACTTTCTATATTTAGAACATAAGTTTCCTAAAACAACCATGCGCATACTAACTATTGACAGCTGAGCATGAAAACTATACAAACACATGGTACATGGAAAAGTATGTAATATATAGCATGGACAACATTACTCTAAGAGTCCGTCACATGAATCACAGAACATAAAACACTTGTATAATTTGAATTAACCAATCATTGTGTAAAAGACTAGAACTGGAAATAATACAATTGTGTTTTGTTCAATACTGTAACAATTTTAGTGTTCATAGCTTGATAACCATAAAATAATCAATACAATTGTAGTTTGGAATTTACCTTAAAGCTTACAGCTTTAACACCTGGCACAAATGTTTTGTATTGTTTTTGTGTAAAGAAAAAAATAATAATGAAAATGAGTCAGTGGCGAAGCACAATCTTTATTTTGCAGAAAATGAAACTTAATTGAGTTTGCTATTTGGAATCAGAAATGACTAAATGTCAATTTTTGTGTCATGATGGATAACACATATGTAAAGATTGCAATTTGTAAAAGCATGTTACAAAGTTGGTTCTTTAAAAACAAAATGGCCACCAGTCCAAACAAAACCAAGATCCAGCTCCAGAACAACAGAATGCTTGATTATTTTGATGCATTTTTAGCACAAAATGGCAGCCAGGTATGTCATTAAACAAATGCATGTCCATATGTGTGACATGACATATGTGCGATACGTTTGAACATGATCGGTTAACGGTATGTCTGAGATATATGGTAGCACTGCCATGAAACAAAATGGCCACTAGTCAGCCATTATTAATCTGATCTGAAAAACAAAACAATGTACATCAAGCTCCCAATGTTTAAATGAAATCTGCCCATGTACAATCAAGATCCAGCTTTAAAATAGCCACCATTTGTTGTGACTGTGATTGACCCAGGCATGTCTGAGATACAAGTGTGTGTATGGATGAGGTCAAACTGTTTCTAAGAACAAAACAAATTCATTTTGCCACTAGGGAAATAATGCATCACAACTACATGGAGTAAATGACACTTCTTGTTTCAGTGAAATTGTTTTCGAAATTTGTAGCTTGTCCACCTTGAAGTGAAGGGAAAGTTGTAGTAGTGGCAAAATGTTTGTTGTCATAAATTTCACTGGGCACAATAATTTCAATTATATTTTGCTGATCACCATCAAACTAATATATACGGTTAACTGCTACGCATAGATGACCTTCCTCAACCTATGCAGTGATTTCCTCACTATATGCTGTAATGTAATGATATCCCCACCCTATGCTATTATCTGGCCACCATTACATATGCAGGGCAAACCATGTGTAGTTTAACTATGTTTAAGGATTGATACAATTCCATTTGTGCCAGACTATAGTTGCATGTATTACTTATCTGCAACAATGCTTGAAATTAAACTCAAAAGACAGTGAAGTACAGCTACCAGGGTAATGATTTCAGAAAAAAAAATATGGAAGACAAGTGCACTGGGAACACAATTCAATAATTATACATAATAAAAATATTTTTTACATTTTTGAAAATAAAAACTCACAACCAGGCGACAAAATTTACAACAAACTAAATTCAGATTTGGAGCGTGTAATACATACTTTTCCTGTTTAATTGCGTGGCATATCCATACAATAATTGTTCAATTGCACCAGATAAATTTGCATGAAATGGCCATCAAAATACAAATTTTGCGTAGCTACATTGTGACCACGTAATATGGCAATGGAAGCATTACTCGGTGACTTTCAAGTCCTTGGCCACCATGTTAGCACATATGATATTCATCTGTTTCCGATTTTTCTTGAACCGCTCGATGGCCTGCTCTCTTGATTTCTCAAATGCATACAAGTCCCTGGCAATCAGAAAAGTTGTTGTAATTGTGAGTACCTGGTAATTACATTTTCTTGTATGAATCTGAGCTGATATGAGACCAATTCAACTAGCCATGACATTGCATTGAACATTAGAGCAGTACCTTAAGCATCCAGTATACATGTTCAGCACTGATACTGAATAACATGTACATGTATTGGTGTAGATAGATAGATATTTAAATATAATTCATGCATACTCTGAAAATATTCAATATTTACACACACACAGTAGTTTTCTTCATTGGACTGAGTTATAATTGACAATGCAATTCAGTTTTTTGGAAGCTTATTTTCGTTGATATTATGTAACGTTTTGATTTTAATGCAGTAGTAACAGTTGGTTTACTCACTTGTATATAGGTCTCACAAACTTCATCCTGCCTTGCTCTGTTACAAAGTCTAATGCTGAAGGGATAACAGCGTCCCAACCACCTCTGATACACAGTCTGTACCATCTGTAGAAGAAAAATAATGCCACATTTTCAGTATGATATACAGGCCTTGAAAGCTACAAAACTAGTATTCACATTCCGGATTTCGGCATGTGACAAGATTCGAGGCCGAGTTGGTACATGCCAAAACAAAACTTCATGAAAACTCAGTATATGCCAAGATTGGCTGCCTGAAAGTTCAGCACAAATCGAAATCACACCTTCAGTGGTGAACTTTATTTTATTCATTTGTTGCAACCCTTTCAGATTTTGATTCTTTGTACATGAAACTCTGTTCATTAACATTTTGTTGGTTTTGTTTGCTTTAACAATCATATTCATGATTACTGGGAAGGGGATGGTAAAAGTTTGAAGGGAATTTTGGAAAATATAGAAGACGATTACTCAAAAAAGTGGATGAGGGACATTAATTCACAAAAATTGGATTTAGGGGGGATTAATAAACTTCACACCTACAGGAAATTTAAAACAAACTTTACAATGGAAAACTATTTGATGGACGCGAGTAATTATAAGAAATATATTTGTAAATTAAAAACTAGTGACCATCAACTTATGATTGAAAAGGGAGATATACAAAGTGGAAAACAAAACTTGAACACAAAATTTGTGCAAGATGTGATAAAAACTCAGTTGAAGATGAGTACCATTACATTGTGGACTGCCCAAAGCACAATAAAATGAGGCAGAAACTATTCACAGATTTACAAAATGATAATCCTAATTTTACTTCATTGAATCATTGTGATAAATTTATTTACATAATGACAAACTACCACATTAATCTTGGTGTGTTTATAATGCAAACAGATGTCTATTAACTAATAATAGTAAACCACCTGATTCTGTAATATTCAGTAATTTAGTACTACCGGGTAGTATGTTAATTTCTCTTTAACTGATTAGTTAATTTAATTTTACCTTTATGTTATTTTAAATTTTATTATCCTTTTACTTTTTTATGTTCATCTTCCATAGAAAAAACATCTTATCCATATCGATATCTTATGACATGGTGATAGAAGGAAGTGTAGCCAGCTTGTATAGAAAATGTGGTTGAATGCTGAAGAGCACTTAATAGCATATGGAAGGAAGATGACATTTTGTTTCATATTGATAGAAGGGACACACACAGGGGTATGATGGCACGATTTTGGCACACTGACCTGATTTAATGTCTACACACTGACCAAAATCAAATTTCTGAGTTCTACACACTGACCTGAATCGAATTTCTGAGTTCTTACTGTCATTAAAGTTGTAATGATTCTCCATTTTTTTGAGGTGATCCACAGATAATGGCTCCTGCAAAAAAAAAATATTAAATATATTTTATTTATTTGAATATACTTGTGAAATAAAAAAAAAATGCAGGACATGAAGTAAGGAATTCAATACGTATACCATTAGCTTGGCATTCATGTACTCACTTCAAGTAAAGTCTGAGCCAGGAATTCAATCTTTTGTCCGGGAGAAAACTCCTTAAGATCATCGCTACAAAACTTCTCAAGCTCATTAGTCTTAGACTACAGATAAAGAGGAAATCAGAGACATGCATCGTTATAATATTGAGTTGTGTGTAAGTTTCAATATATTCTTATTGTCCTCACTCTGTTTTAACATTGAACAGTTTTACAAATGTCAACTTTTACATAGTGCAATAATTGCTGTTTCATCAAGTGCTTTAAAAGTGAAGTCTGATTTATGAGTTTCATTTGCAAAGTAAATGCTGGCCTACCACACTGTACCCAAAATGTAGGTGATATTTTTTATTCTAAATGAATAATTGGCTGGAATAAAACACAGCATCAGTATTATTGTTTTCTCACCTGACACCAATTCTTGCAAAGTGTTGTACATGCATTACTCATAGTAGTATCATATCTATAACAAAAAATATGCAATAATGAGAAAATAATTTTTGACAAATCTCATCATGCTGCATAATCATTAAAATGCATCTGTAATAAAAAGCAAAACATTAATGTGATAGTTCCTGTATTTGAAGAAGCATTCTAAAAATGAAATAACTTGTACATTGATATGCATCTAATACAGCCATTCTGTGTAACAGCTAAAGCTACTCATTAATTTCGTTTAGAATATTTAAATACCATCTGTCCTAAAAACAATTAAAAGTCATGTGTATTTTCCAGTTTTCACTTGTAACGTCTAGTGTGATCTTATGTGGCTCACATCCATTTCTCAATTTTTGTCAGTTGTTTCTAGTATTAGTTTGGATCTCACAAACAGTCATGGATATCTATTAAACTGTAGTAATTTGATTCAAATGATTATAAGTCTCAGTAATATTGTACATATAGCAACCAAAAAGCTGCAACATTTGATTTTAAACTGGTACACTGTACAGCACTATAAGTTACCCACAATTCTCAATGATTTGTACTATCTGGGGGGGGGGGTATTACACAATGATTTCCCTTAAACTTTTTACTGGCTTACTATTTTATACCCCATGAAAACCCTAAAGAGTCTGTTGTATTTATTTTTTACGTATGATCAGAATGTCAAATTTACCTTGAAGTCAGACAAAAGACAAATTTATAATTTTGCTAAAATGCAGTTATTTTTTAGGGAATATATTTACCAATTACTTCCTCATCACCTTGCAGCTAATATGAATATTTCAAAAACACTCCCAGGTGCTAGGAATTTCCTTAGTTATTTAAGAATTATAGAGTATAGTTATAATAAGTTTGTTTACTACTGACAAAAAATACTACTCCTACTGGAGAAAAAAATGTCTGTTTTCTGAATGCATGAAGCATATCAACATATGGCTGCATACTATTTGTGGTGATTTAATGCTCACATTCAATCAGGTTCAAAAACTGCAGTTATTGCGTTTGTGTAGAGGTAACAAGTGAAGAGACAAGATAGACTGCAGTGTGTGCATAACTCAATACGCTGTTAACTCAGTAGAATGACATGAAGTGACTAAGAAATCAAGTACAATCAAGTACAGAAAGACGTTCTTTATAAAGTGTTTATCCTACTCAGATTTCTGATTTTATAATTGGAGGAAAACTCTGTAATTGGTTTGTAATGTTGACAAGCCATTCTTAAATATATATTTCACCTTAATCCAATTTAATGTAGTGAGTTCAATTGCATTCACACTGATAAGAGTTTCCCTGTGAACATCTCTCATATGGCTGACTTAAACTAAATTTGTGTTTTTTTACAATAGAGATGCATGTGTTTAAAAGTGAAATCAGACATGTAATTAGCTCAGGAACAATGCTTGGAATTGATTCAATCAAAGTCCAAAAGATACAGTAAATCATTTACTTTCAATGATAATTAATTACAAATGAAAAACTACAAATAAAACAAAATTAGAAAACACACACCTCAATATGCATCCCCGATAACATTTACCAATTACTAATTTAAAACAATATATGCTATGCTAGTAGAAAGCTCATTGGATTGTGGGTAATCACAAGCTCTGTGAGTGATGCAAGCTACAAGTTACAAGACTCCAGATGTAGATGCAAAAATATATTTCCATCAATTGAGAGTAAACAACTTATATACAGATATAATGAATGATGGAAATATGTAACAAGCAGCCTGTCGGCTGAGATAGCTCCGCTGTTAGCAATACACATTACAATTAAAGAACAGAAAATATCATTATCAAAGCAATCAGACTTGCTGCTTTCAACAAAAATTTGAAAATATCACTTATTACCAAAAATGACGAAAATAATCATCAAAATTAGAGAATTAAAGATATCATCACAAAATGAACAAATCTACAAGAGGTTTGCCCAAGGTACATATACATGAACACCAAGTATCAAAGCAATAAGAATTGTAGTTTTCAAGAAGAAGTTGAAACGGACGAAGACTGCAGACAATCACTCATATGATAAGCTCCGCTCAACAAAGTCGACAGCGGAGCTAAATAAATGACTTACTCTGGTTTGACAGGTGGCATGCCAGGTGAATGAAACCAAGCTGTCCAATCAACAACATCGAATATTCCCTGCTCAACCTGCCAATCAAAAGCAGAAATAAGAATAAATGTATTAACGATCTTGCAGGTGAAGGAGTAATTCCCTCACAGCAGAACAATTATTGTTCCAAATCAGGGAGTAATGAAACCCCAATGGAAGGAGAACATACCTTGTCTTTAAAGAAAGAAAATAAATAATCTTTCCACTCAGCAGTAGTGAGACATTTGTATTTGAAATTGTCAATGTAACTTCTCAAGAATGGCTCAAATACACCTGGCAATTAAAAATAAAAAATATTAATGATCAAATAGACATTAGAATACCATTTACGGCAGCTAATTATTGTTTTTTCTATTGGTTAAATTATATTATGTGAAGGCAATGGTCACCAAGTGCATGTAGTGATTGAGGTCAATGCACTTTTTGAACCTGAATAAATGTGAATTTAATGTTTACTTTGAATAGATCATTCAGACAACAAACTCACTATGACAACTTAGCCTGACATGTAGATGAGAGTGACACCATCGCCGGCCAAACAGCATCAGAACCCACTGACAGACGCCTGACAGAATAGTGTATTTCTCATCGGCAAGATCAATACTGCGAATTCGTAAAGTTCACGCCTTCTTACTATGAGTTTAAATGAATATTAATTTTGGTGGTCATAGTAACACCGCACGCAAGGGGCCAGTGCCTTATCACACATTTTGTCAACAAATAAACTCTACTAGGAATGGCTACTCTTTGATCGCTGTCACTATCTGACATTCCTGCAATTTGATTGGTGCTGACTAAAAAATGTTGGGGGGAGTAAAAAACTACATTGTTCTGTCAGACGTGTGTTGGGTTTGGAGCACCGTGGAGGAGCAACTCGCGCAACTTTGTCAGGCTACACGACAACAGTGGCAAATAACTTGTTAATACCTGGCCCACCCACCAAAGATTCCAAATAAAATAGCAAAGCTGCTCCCTTTTCATATGGTACAGCAGAGAATGCATCATCCGGGTCAATCCCTTCTAAATTGGGAACCAAGTTAGTATGAGGATTGTCAGCGCCAAATGCAGTAATCTGTGGAAGAATCAACACAGCCATGATCAGACATATAAGGCCATACAAGATTACATAGCATTGGTACATACAGATGTTTTAGTTGAATACATAGAGAAGTAATGATGACTTTACAATACAATTGATATAGATTAATGAGCACAGAGAAATAATTCAATCTTATAAGTCTTTAGTCTGTGAAAATTCAAACTTACAGTATCTCTCAGAGTATTCCAGCCACCTGGAAAAAGAAAATAAAGATACAAATCATCAAAATGAGTTACTTACATCATCATGTATTTTTCTCCATCCACCTGTGAAATTTGTTTGTATGAACCAACAGAAGATAAAACAGCCAAAT